TCATCAATTCTTGTTAATCAACGCTCACCTCAGGTTATTATGAACCACTACCATTTCAAACTATTTTACCTTTACCCCAGAGCGTTTGAAATAGTGGATTCAACTTTAATTGGTTTATTTGCAGACTTTTGATATTAAATTTTGTTTACGATGTATTAATTATTTGAGAGTGGTAACGTTTTCTTTGACTTTCCTTTTGAACAGAAAAAGAAGCGACGAGTCAAAGCACTCACTTCATCGACCACCTGCGTGACGTTTTTTAGTTATTCCCATGTTCTTCAATTGCCATGTCTCTTTTAAGAATCTAAGATATGGCTTTTGCTTCCTTCTTTGTTAAGTAAAAATAAGAAGAGGCTTCGTGTATTTAAAGCCATGTGATTGGAAACATCATAAAGGTTTAAATACAGTTAGTTTTCATTTGTGTTCATATTGTGGTGATGTATTCGGTTAACATGTTAATTTTTACAAAACATTTACTGTACACCTAAAGCGCTGATAAATTTTAATTGTTTAATTGTTTAATTGTTCAATTGTTTAATTGTTTTAATTGTTTATTTAAATTTGTTAAGCAGAAGAGATTCACAGGAAAATCAGCCTTCGCCATCTTTACGATGGTCCTAAACGTGGTACAAACGTAAAATTTACTTAAGAGCAAAAAGTGATCAGAGTCGAGCAAATGTGAAATTTTACCTCACATTGGATTCCTAGTGTTTGTGATGCGAACGTACGTTTTCACCTCACATTTAATGCTAATACAAAATCTTTACAAATGCGTTCTTGTACGTTGCATTTGCCACCAGGTGCAAACACTAAGTTATAGCCGTCTTTCGTCTTTTCATTGCTGGTGAATACGAAGCAAATATGACATTTGCTTTCAGAGCAAAGAAAGCAAAGTCATGTAGTTGTAGATAATTGCCCAATATTTGCTACCCTACCAGTGATTCATTTTGCCCTGCGTTTTGTGTATTTTACGCATTACATTCTTTAAATACCCATTGGTTTCTGTCGAGCGCGTGCGAGTACGCATAATTAAAAATCTCAGTTTCCAGTTTCTATTTTTATCGCGAATTCTGTTGTCTATTTCCTCTCTCGCAATAATAGGGAACTAGGGACTTTAAGCAAACCACGACGGCTACGGCAACGAGAACGTGGAAAATCAATAGATCTAATTGGCAGAACAATAGTCCAGCACGTGCGTTTTAAAACGTTGTACATTTCTTAGCCGTCCTTTGCAAAACAACAACGTGAAATCACCAAAATTTGCGTCGTCTGCGAAGTAAAACCGCGGCGGCAACTTACCTTAAANACGGCGATTTCATCACGATTATTTTCCACAATATTTTGTCCTGGATATCTTTTATAAGCTTAAAGAAAGATAAATATAACGCAATATTTCGGTGATTTACACGACAGGCCGAATTCAAAGGTCTCGGTTCTTATTTCCCCCTGAGGTGGCCGGCTCATCAGGAAGAAGAAGGAGATCGTTCGGTCCAATAACCTTAGTCTGTGGAGTTTATCAAGCTATTAACTGAGAAGATTGTGCCCGTTGGTTCATCAGTGACAAATCTGTACTCGTCGGTCCATGCGACACCGAAAAAAGAACCTTTACAATAGCATTTTATCATCAAGATAAAGAAATCTCAAGGCTCAAAGCCAAAATATTGTTCAAGCATGTAAAAGATTCCCTGAAAAAAAAGCTAAATTTGTGGAAAACGATTGTGATAAAATCCCTGTTCCATTTGCTGTAAAGAGGGGATACTGAGTTGGGTGACGCTATATCGAAGGCGTTCGTCGAGGGTAAGAGTAAACAGTAATTTTTGTCAGCGGGAAAATTATGAAACCGCGACTACGAGTATTGCGAAATCCCGCGAAAGGATAACATTTAAAAACCGAAGACAATTTTTGACTAAGACACGAGAATGCGTTATGATGGCGACGACTCAGTAAATATATGAAAATAATATATGTTTACTGCGCTTTCATAAAATGTATGAAAGCGTTCTTCGCAGCAATAAACCCTACTTATCTAGTAGCGACTACGTACTGTAGACATGACTTATTAACTTAATTTCCCTGTTCTGCCAACAGAAGAGCGAACATGATAGGCATGCAATGTCTACTTTCAGTGTTTATAGCAAGTGTAAAATTATTAAGTCGTAAGTGAAAAAAGCTGTTCCTTCAATTTAAAACGGCAGTCACTTTGAGAATAAAGTGACCCTTTAGTTGTCTGTCATTATATTTGTAGTGAGGTCGCTGACGCCAAAACGGGCTGGCTTTCTCTATCTTGGCCTTGCATCGAGCTGGTGCACTTCAAATAAAACAGAAGGATGGGTGCAAGTGCGAAATTCTCATTTGTCTCACGCTCTGCACCCACACGCGACATTTAGTCTTTAAGTTTAATACAGAAGTCACTATTCTCATTAAATACTGAGGTGTTAAGGTACGAAATATTTACCCTCACAAGGTAACTAGGAAGAAAGTGCATTCGATTAAATATACCTTAGCAACCACTGAACTATTTCTGCCTTAAAAGGAATTTAACGGAATATTGCACATTCTTCACTCAATTTCCCAATGATTGATTGCTGTTTTCGATCGTTTCTTTCAGTTTGCTAGATGTTTGTGCGAAGAGTCCTCCGTAGATGCAGCTTTCGACATAGCAACCGAACGTGCACTAATAACGTCTGTGGTGTTTGGCTGTTGTTACGATGACATCTACGAATAAGTAACCTAAGTCATAGCTTGTTTCCAAACTGCATATCCTTTAATCTTACCAAGCATTGGGTTTTATCCTGATATAGAGTTAAGAGTCAAAGCATGAGACCTGACCCAATAAGAAAGAAGACATACTTAAGTGAATGATAATCGGAAATACTTGTTCTGTCCGCTGTAGGAGAGATATCAACGTCTGCACAGTGTGCCATGACGACGATGGAGAAGATTGGCTGGGATGCGACAGTTGTGGCCAGTACTTCTACGCAAGTTACATCAAAGTGGATTTCTCAGACTCTCTCCAGCTACTTTGTCTGCCCTTGTTAATTTCACAACATCGTTGCGGATTACTGGTGACGTAAATTGATGGTGGAGAATATTCTTCTCAGTGTGGGGCTGGGTTAAGACTAAGCTAGGCTGTGTACAATTCCTGAAATTCCCGTTATTTCACGAATTATTTGACGCTAAAGTGTTGACAAGTTCTTCGCGTTACGTAAGTGAAAAATTGACTCAACGCTGCAAGGAGAAACTCCCTCAAAATTTACTCTTAAGAGTCGAAGTTACAGTCCAAAATTTAAACGTTACTGTTAGGTTTATTGGCGCATTGATAACCTTGTAAATGTCTCCAACATACTGAAAACATTTTCATTAGTTTTTGTATATCTTTATCCTTTGTTCAGTACGATCTTACACATTTCGGGTTTGAACTTTTCGTGGGGAACACGTGCTACAGCTTACACGACGTATTTCAATACATACATACCCAAATGCGACGATCTGATTTGTGCGCGCGACATACCACTTGATACGCTAACACAATTATTTTTTTATAAAAAAATAAACTCAAAAACTTTAAAATTTTCTTTCCAGTCCCTGCCCCTACCCTCGTGCGACTGGTCTCTGAGTTGTTATAACTGAACTTTTGAAAAACTTGCAGGGAATTGTGATAAGAGGAAAGTGGAAGTAAAATCAAACAGCTTTTTAGCCTTACTTGTTCTTTTAATGATATAATTGTCCATTACAGAACTATGGAGAAACACAAGAATTATATCCTAAACATACAACATTATTATCGAATTATAACCTTGCAACTACATTTATAACACGATAAGATAAGGCCTCCAGTACATGTTGTGATCAACCTGCCTGTTAATCCTACCTTACATCTCTGAATCTAGACAACTTGCGGTTTAATTTCAATTGAATGAACTCATAATTGTATACAATGAATGTTAAGGCTTCTTCAATAATTACAAACCATTTAGTTTGTCTTTAAACAACTGAACTCTCCAGTC